ACGGAGTATAAATTAGGCTTTGCAGGGGTGCTAGTTGTTACCATTCACTTACATTGTTTATGCTAAGCTAAAGCTAACAGAATACTGTGATGTAATGACAGTGTCCCACCTGTCTAAATCTGTTTAATATGATAACAGGCTGAATTTCACTTACGGGTGGAATATAACTTTAAAAAGAACCAATTCTAAATGGGGTTTTGATGCAGTCTGTCCTAGAAACATAATTTATCCTCAGATTTTATTTGAATCTGCTGAAAATGACACATATTGACTCCTAAACAAGGAGACTCCTGAAACTCTGACAGATTTCTTCATGTAAAACCATGACTTTTTCTTCTCTTTACCTGCTCTAGCTAGTTTTAGTCCTGACGTTTCCTTCAGCCTTATCTTGTATATGCTCTCATGCTGAGGTGCAGGGACTGGACTGAGAAAATCCTTCAGAAACCCTGAAGAGAGTCAGACTGGTGGGGAGGGAAGTACAGAGACATTAACCCTGGAGAACCCAAGAACCATTGTCTTCTTTGGAAAATTATGAACTACGCATTAAATGACTTATAAAACTTCACTGAACACCAAAATATCCACTTTTTCAATATTAACCCTTTATTCCCTGATTTAGGATTTGGGTCATATTTGACCCATTGGGCTTTAGGCATATCATTTTAAAAAATCACAATAACAAACACTGTCAGTGTAAACTATTTTAAAGTTAGGTAAATAAATCAACCACACAGCTACATTTAACAAGTTTTTTTTTTCTCAATTTGTTGCATGTCAGAACTGGATTCAGTTTGAAACAAAAGAACACGAGGCACAGTTTTCACAGTCACTGCAAATCAGTTTTGAGGTTCTTGCACACAGTTCAATGATGGCAGTGTTCCTTCTTGACAGGCCAATGGGCGATTTGGTCAAAACGAACATCTGCTCTCTTGTAAACTCAAACTAATTTTTGTGGTGAAAAAAACCCCAAACCACGGGCATTTGCTTATCCATGAACTCACACTAGACATTGTGGTAGTCTTTGAAGCAATTTCTTTTTTTTTGTTGATGCAGAGTGGAACAGCACATTTTTCACTGTGCATTTCAGTTTTGAGGTCCTTGCACACAGCACATTGACGGCGATTTTCCTCCTTGACAGGCCAATGGGCGATTTGGTCTCAATGAACATCTGTACTCTTGTAAACTTGAATACATTTTTGCAGTGGCGGGGAGGAGTGGCCAGAAGTTGTTGGCCTACCCCGACTTCTTGCTGTTCCAACTTGAACCAAGCCTTCAGCAACCAAACCCTGAAACTTGCAAAGTTTGAGTACTTTTGATGTTGGGATTCCCTGGGCCTCACAGTCACGCTGGTAAAGAAGCCATGCATTGATCACCGCAACAGACAAAAATACCAGAAAGTATCATATACCAGCGACGGGTCTTGATGGGAAACTTCCAGCGTGCAAGATGTGCATCCAGCATGTCAACTCCTCCCATGGAAGCGTTGTACTCCTTGATGATGTTTGGCTGATCAGTGTTGATGTACTCTTTTTTTGGACTTGTCTCAGTGGCGGGCTTTTCCCAAAGGCTCTGGTCCAGCATATGTTGACATAAAAGTGACTGCTTTTGTGTCTTGCCATTTCAAACACAAGTATTGGTGTTAGACTCGATTTGATGATCATATGATCCACAGCCTTTCTTGGACAGGTCTTTGTCTGTCATCAGGGTGCACTTTGACATGTGTTTTTTTTTTCGAACAGTTCCCGTGTCGTAGGTTCCCTTTGCCAATAATTTCTCAATGAGGGGCATTGAAGTGAAAAAATTGCCAGCAAAAATCAGGGAACGTACTTTCTCTGCAAGCGAGTCGCATAGCTTCACCACAATGTCTCCACCAACTCCCGACTGACTCTTCCCTTTTTGCTCATTGGCACCTCCTTTTCCCTGATATATATCAAAATTGTGCAGGAAGCCAGTGACACAGCAGCGACCCCACGCTTTGAATCCCCACGGATGTGGCTTCCGTTTGATGTACTGCCTCATGCCACCAAAATTTCCTTTGTACGGCGCCATCATCTTATCGATGGACTGTTTTTGGCAAGGCACAATAGTCAAACATTGTGTCCGAAAAGAATCCAAAAATGGTCTTAGTTTCCACAGTCGATCCTTTTTTACACTGGCCATTTCATTGTCTACAAAGTGAATGACAGAGAGTAGCTGGCTGAATCGGTTGCGACTCATTATGTCTGCCACAGGCACATAATGAACTTTGCTTTCCCAGTACTGACGTACTCCAGACTAGGGTTGTCACGGTATGAAAATTTAACCTCACGGTTATTGTGACCAAAATTATCACGGTTTTCGGTATTATCGCGGTATTTTTTAAACGGTGTTGCATATGTTCAGAAAGCATTGATAGTCCTGTTCCACACAAACTGAAATAGTTTAGAAAAGGTTTAACAGTGTTTATTAAACCTAAAATAACACAAAGCCTTAGCAAAAGTGCAACTTTTCACAAGTAAAGGAACAAATAGCTTATTTTTCTGGAACGTGTTACAGTAGTCAGTGCAGGTTTAAATTATACAAATCCAAACATTCAAAACATAAACAATATGTAAACAAATCAAAGAAACACCACTTGTTTTCTCATATACTTGTTTTCTTCAGTATCAAAATGAAAATCTAAAACTCCAGTCCACACTTGACTTGAGCACTGTACAAGTCAACCTTAAAAAATATGTATTTAAAATAAATAGCCTCTTTAAACAAATTACTAAAATAACTACTACACTATGTAATCAAATCCAAATGTCCAAGTATAAATGGCATTGAATAAGTAAACAAATCAATGACAAGGAACTAATTGTATATTTCTCTTCATCATCAACAAATAAGATGCTTCATCCAGCAACAGGGTGTCCGTGACACGGTTTAAATGCTGGCAGAGGACGCTGCGGCTGCAGTATGTAGTGACTCGTTGCATTCTCCCTCAATCAAAAGTCCTCACGTCATGCATTTAAGCTAAAATGCTAATGTTATCTTACCTTGCACTGGCTGTAGAGACGTGGGTGATGGTCACGCAGATGTGCCATTAGATTCGAAGTGTTGCTGCCTTTTGCAGACACTTGTTTCCTGCACGTTCTGCAAACGGGATAGCCGTCTTCTATTAACTGTCCCTCAGCATTTTTCAGAAATCCAAAATATGCCCATACTTCCGATTTAGTCTTCTTTGAGGGCTGATGGATGTCCTGGGCGCTGCCGTCTCCTCCTTCGGCCATTATTTCAGCTTCAAAGTTTTGGTGCCGTTGCAAACTAAAAAGTGCGTGTGCGCGCCGCGGGAACTTCAGCTGAAGCGACGGTGGCTGGTAAGGGTCACCGCGCCTAAACCGCGGCCACGGTAAACCCACCGAGATAATTTAGTTTATTAAAAACTGGACGGTTATTTTTATTGTCAACTTTTTTACCGGGGTTTACCGCTATACCGGTTACCGTGACAACCCTACTCCAGACATTTGAACTAATCCCATCTTGAGATACAGTCCAAGACCTTGTTCTATCTCTTTTACTGAAGTGTCAACACATTTCCCATGCTTTTGAACACTGTATTGATTGGTGTGCTCAACAATATTTTCCAACATGTCAAGGGAAACAAAGCGCCGAAAGTAAACCAGTCTGTTGTGGCATCCTGGTACGACTCAACTTGTTCACCAAGAAAGTTCACATAGGGCAACTCAATGCCTTTCTTTCGCCATTTATACATTTTTGCGGCACGATTTGGCTCCATCTGTATGCTAGCAGTCTCAGCAAATGACACATCTTCATCACTGGACGAGTGACTGGATGAGTCACTGTCTCCGGCAGAGGATTCACCACCATCACTTTCATGCGTTTGATACAATTAATCAGAATCTCTGTCGCTGTCGCTGTCCAGCTCAGGGCCAAAGTCACTATCACCAGCTTCGAATTGATCCAATACTTGTTGTGCAGTGAACTTTCTCTGGTGCCTTCCCTGCCCTGAAAAGGGAGCAGCCATACTCCCTGAAAAGATATATTTACTTTATTAGTCTCTGACCCTGTACTACTTAGGTAACTTAATAAAATGTATTATACAAATTAATTTATTTCAAGGCTTTTATCAAATACAGGACTGTAACCATTCTCCATCTACAATGCCACTCAAAGAACCAAAGGGTCATTTTTGGCCCACTTTTAACTAGCTTAGAGTGTCTAATTTTTACAAAACGAACATAAAACATTTTTCTAGACATTCTTCAACTTATTACAAAGTAGATTAACAAACAAAACACAATTTTACCAACCTTTGATTTTCTAAGAAGATGATTTTCTGGGGGAAAGTTTCCAGCTCAACAAAACAGCATGTGGTCAGCCATCTTCTAACTACCACTCTGGCTCATGTCAGTTCAATCAGCATCCACTAGATGTCTCTATGCAGGGGTCAGAAGTGGCACTTTGGGATTTAGAAGATAAATTTGACCGTTTTTTTTTTCTTTGTACATTTTGAGCAGCGGCAATTAACAGTGGCCAAATTATTAAGATATCTTTAAAAACTTTTGCACAGTTGCTGAAATTTCTAAGTGTGTGGAGGTGTTTCAGTGTGGGTTATAAAACAACCCTGCCCTCTACGAGCCAGCAGACTCATTTTACAGCTTAGGATGTTTTCTTTTAAAAACCCCATTGTGTTTGACTTTAACAGCTGTGGCACACAAATAAACCAACATTAATTTATGACTTCAAATCCTCGAAACTAAGCCGAATTTGGATAATCCAAAGATTTGTGTGTCTTCATGCTCTTTTGTGTGTGTGTGGAGATGAGTGCTGATGACATCACCGCTACTGGTGAGTCACAGCAGCCTCGCAGCTCAAAGCTGGAAGCACCCGAGCAGCAAACAAGATGACAGCAGGAGTGTTGCTGGCTGTGTGACGCAGCTCCTGCTGCCTATTCCACACATCAGAGCTGCCAGGAAAATAAAACCATCCTCTGAAGAATACAATACAACACCGGCTTAAACCATTAAAGAACATTTATTAGGATATAACAAAATAAATAATCTGTTTTGCAACATAATAAAACCGAGGAGGTGAATAATGATCAAGAGACAGGTAGGTGTAAATGAAGAGCAGCAAGTAGCCTCACTTACTTCTTGATGAATGTAGAAAAACAACAAAACATTTGAAGACGCTTAAATATTTCACTGTTAAGGAATGATAGTTTGATTGACCTTGAAGGAGCTGCTGTGTCAAACATGAAGCACCGCGTCTGATTTTCTATAATGAAAGAAATTAGTCCTTCAGTACAGAAATGAGTGACTTTTAGAAAGATGAGTTAAATATGTTAGTTTAGGTTACTCAGATACAAACATCTGGAGGTTTCTGCAGCTAAAACAAATCAGCAATCCAATAACTTCTAGAAATTATGTTTTCACTTTTTCATTATTCTCTGTGAATCTACAGTATTTATCTTAAGTGAACAATACTAAGGTCCAAATCAGAGGAAAGCAAACATCTGAGTGTATCTCCGCTACTTAAGAGCCTTTGAGCAAGACATGGTCTCTAAAAGCATCTGGGTTGTCAGTTCAAGCAACTCAGATAAGTAATTTTCTTTTAAATAATGAAAAAGATCCAGGCTTTTTTTTTTCATGCACATGCTAGGATTTTTGTTTTTGACTCAAACAGAAGACATCCGTCACTTGAGACGCGAACTGAACTTCACTCAGAACCAGAACGTCGTTTCCTGAGGTGAAGAGCTTCAGAGCAGCACGCTGTAACCTGATTTCTCCGTTGAAAGCACACTTCCTCTGCAAAACTATGGAATGTTGCACAGTGAGTAGGAACTTCAGAGTGAGTTTCCAAAGTTGCAGTGCCCCCTGCTGCTGTGTGAAACTCGTTTCATCTGTGGCAGGTGAAGCCTCTCAGACTGTGGTGCTCACAGGACTAAGATCTTCCCAATCAGAATCACAAATCTCTCCTTTTGACAGCAGGACACCGTAACATGTAAACAAAAACCAAAACAAAAGATGCTTCCGCTGGCTACCACATATAAAAACAGAACCTTATTCTGGAAATCAGCGCATAAATTCTGAAATATTCTGCTGTGATTTTGTCCCATCTCCATCAGAAGAAGTTGTGACTCATTTAGTGGAGTTTAAAAAGTTGTTCACGGGTCTGAGCGAGCATCCTTTCCCTGGTGAGGGAGGCTCATTTCCCCCTCTGGTTGGAGTTGATGGTTGGATCTTTGGTGACACAAGGGCTAATGGTCCTGCACACTGTTATAGATGTTTGCCGCTCCGCTTTAACGTCGTGATCTGTGGAAAAAATTGAGTTTTTAGGAGTAGACTTAAAACCATCAGGAGTTTGTTAAAAAGAAAAACCAATTAAATGATTATGTATATAAATTACCCTGAGAACCCTATAGTAATAGTTATTATAAAAGTATATATTATAGTATTATAAAAGAGAATAATGACACAATATGATCATGCAATGTGAAGCAACATGATTATGATGATGTGGTGTAATATGGTTAAATATTAGACAATAACATTCCATACTATAGCTCAGCAGTAGCTCAGGGGGTAGAGAGAGTTGTCCAGTAATCAGTGGGTTGTAGGATCGATACTGGCTCTTGGCAGAGAATGCTGCTCTTGTGTCCTTGGGCAAGACACTTAACTCATCATATCTGCTGGTGGTGGTCGGAGGGACTGGTGGCGCTGGTAGGCCTCACCTCTGTCGGTGCACCCCAGGGCAGCTGTGGCTATATTGTAGCTCATCATCGCCAACGTGTGAATGTGTGTGAATGAGCGGATGAACGTTTATGTTGTAAAGCGCTTTGGGGGGGTGTTAAACCCTAGAAGATGATATACAAATACTTTTTTTTTAAAGTCAGAATAATCTAAAGCGCTTTCCACTACAGTAATTCACACACACACACACACACACACACACACACACACACACAAAGGTGACTGGGGTGCACTGATAGAAGCGAGGCTGCCGTCCACTGGCGCCAGCAGTCTCTCAGACCGCCACCAGCAGGCATATTTAAGCATCTTGCCCAAGGACACAATGACTGACATGGATGGAGCCTAGAATTGAACTGACAACCCATCAGTTACAGGGTACACTATTAACCCTCTGGAGGCAGGCATTGCAGATTTGCAACATCCAAACCTACCTACCTGGTTACTCCACACACATATTTCATGAGCATTTTTAACTCAGAAGTTCCCCTAAAGAACTTAGTTGTTCATCCTTTTATCAAAACTTATTTTGAGCCTAAGAGGGTTAACCCCTCAGCCATCGAGCCATTATGATACAATATGATACAATATAATAAAAGGCAGTCTAATATGATATGATGCGATGCAGTACTGTATACGGTATGATGTTGGTGTAGATTCTCACCCAGGAAAAGACAACTCTAAAAGTTATTTTTTATTAAAAGGCAAATTTTTGTCTCTTTTTGCCTCCAGCGAGCTTTATTAAATGGAATCTGGTAATTTACTACAAAACAAGGATACACAACCCTGTCCTATACACAATGATACACTTTATTCTCCTTTGTAATAGAAGTACTAAATTAATTAGGGATGTTTTCAAATCTAATGTTTTTCACTCTAGAGTGATGAGGCAGAAGAGGATAAACAGTAATCTAGATGAAACTAGTGTTTTAGGAGCATGGAATTATAGTTTGGGGAATTTAACAGGAAACACTCCCACATAAAGTGAAGTCATCATGGTTTAGATGACCAACCCAAGCTGCTGGGAAACAAAATGTCCCCAGAACTGTAGAGCTGAAGGACTTTTTTGGCTGATGAAGCTGAAACATCATGTGGGTATGACAGAAGAGACACTGAACCAAAGTTGATACTCATTTGGATGATAACAGATGCACTGCTGTGTATCATCAGAAGGCAAAAATTCTTGGGAAAACAACATTTCACAGCAGGTTTTTTATTGCACAATGTCTTATTGGCACATACAGAATGTCTTTTGTGTTTGTGACACGGGTTACTCCTTTTGAAATCCTTCATGACGTAAACAATAACTGCTTTCCAGTAAAAAAAAAGGAAACAAATAAGCACCATAACTTAGACCTGGAAGTGTTTATAATCTGCAAAAAGATCCCGTCTGGAAAAGTGACAGGATGTTGGATGTTGGAAGCGGGAGAAAGTTCAAATTAAATGAGACGCGTGAGGGAAACTTGGACGAGTGGAGATAAGCAAACACAAACATGACAAAGGGAGGGAGATGGAAGCCAGAGATGAAACATATGTCTCTTTTCTGTTATTTCTGTAGTCCTTTTGGTAGAAGGAGAGGATGCATAAAAAACACTGTGCCATTTCTCTGCCCACAGGTTTTATTTTTGTACACTGTCGCTTGGTGAGTCAATGCAACGCCCCTCCAATTACCTCCCACTCCATCGCCCCCACGCCCCATCCATCCCGCCCTCCAGCCCACACGCCTAACACATTCTGACGTCAGTCCCTGCTGAGGAGGGAGGGGGGTACGATTTTGTCGCCCACAGAGTACTTCCTACCCCCCCACCCCACCCTTTTCCGCCTCCTCATGTCTTCGCTGGCTTCCTTCTCCTTTGCTTATCTCTTCAGCCCAGAACAACTAACTTGCCCAGATCACTTTTTTTGTTTTGTTGGTTTTTGCAAGGAGCTGTGATGCATCACAAAAGTAACAGGCAATGAAGAAGTGCTATAGCCGTCTTCCTTTCTTTTCTTTTTTTCTCTCCTCTTGCCTAATTCTTATCTCTTCCTCTCCACCTCCTTCTGTTTCCCCTTCTGACTTCTGTGCTTTCTGGTTTACAGTCTGGTGAAGTTCAGCTGCGTGTGGTGGGAGGCGTCATCTCAGAGAGATTCTGACTCACTGGGGTTCAAACTCTGCAGCCACTAAATACTCGTTCTTATCGGAGGTTAAAGAGTGTCTTTGTGTCAATTTCGGCTCAGCACCGGTGACGTGATCTTGACGGTCCTGATACTTTCTCTATAAAATATAGATAATAAGCAAGTTTTAGCTCATAATTGTACCCCGTGTGATTTGTGTCAATCTATCTTGTCTAGATCTGACTAAAGGTCATAAACAATTATGCCGGCTGTAGATAGGTCTTTGATCAGCCTCAGTTCAAAGAAATTAACTTGAATTCTGACTTTCTGCATTTTTTATAAATTTGGGTCAATCTCAGACCCACAAAACACTAACTGTCAAGACAAGCAACCCCAGATATCTCTGAGCTGATAATACAACAAGGTTAAAAGCTTGTTAATTCCCTGCATAAAGTAAACTGATTCAGATCATGTTCACTTATAAACATTTATGACAATTTTGTTGACTTTTATAACTATTGTGTTATAATTATAGCTTCAGTCATTGTTTTTCACTTTTATTTCTATTTCTGGAAATCATTTAAAGCAGTGGTTCCCAAACTTATTTAGCCACGCACCCCCTTCTATGTCCCGACCATGTCGACGCACCCCCCAGCTCCACATCAGGGCATGGCTATATATATATATATATACATATATACACATATATATATATATATATATGTATATATGTATATATATATATATATATATATATATATATGTATATATGTATATATATATATATATATATATATATATATATATATACATATATATATATATATATATATATATATATATTTTTTATATGTATATATATATATATATATATATATATATATATGTATATACATATACATATGTATATATATGTATATACGTATATATATATATATATGTATATATATATATGTATATACATATATATATATATATGTATATATATTTATGTATATACATATATATATACATATATATATATATATATATATATATATATATATGTGTGTGTGTGTGTGTATATATGTATAAATATATATATATATGTGTGTGTGTATATATGTATAAATATATATATATATATATGTATATATGTATATATCACTCATTCTTGAGAGTCGGGACAAAACATGTCCTTCATAAAAACATGTACTTTAGGTTAAAATTAAAAATTAATTATCATGATTTACTTTCTTGCCATGTTTAATCTAAATGAAATCTTTATCTTAACTTCATTATTAGTGCAAATTTCCTTTCTCTTTAGAAAAAATATTGCTTTAATATTTAGTTTGTGCTTAGAATGTTTGTTATTTTATTTGTCTTCACCACAAAGTCACAATTTTCCTCGCCCCAAAAACTTGAAAAAAAGTGTAAAAATGTGAATACATAAATATAAATTGAAAGACAATCATTACAAATATGTGAAGCAATGCTTGAAGTAAACATCAAATTATATTTTTCATAAAAATCTGCTTGCCAAAGTTGTGTCCTCAGTTTCTGTCAACTCCGTCAGATTTTTCATAAACTTCTTTTAATCAGGCAATAGCATGGTCATCTTTGTCACCGAGGACCCTTTTGAGTTTCCCATGCTGTGCTGATAACAGCACTAGCACACCTACTCTGGTAAGTTTAAAACTTTGAGATATTTTACACAAACACTGTCAACATTTCTATGGTCACAACTGGACCATGTCAACACCATCTTTCCAATGTGATGTGTGTTTTTTAAAAAAAGGCAATTTAACTTAGGCATTTTAGTGAGGTTACTGAGAAGCTAGCAACTAAGGAAAAAGTAGCTAGCTGCTATTTACAATGCATCTTTTGGCGGGAAAATACATGGCCTTTTGTCAACTCCGTCAGATGTCAACTCCGTCAGATTTCATGTCTGACGGAGTTGACATGTAAGATGACGGAGTTGACAAATCAACCTATAATGACCTAAAGTGGTAATAAAATATTATGTTTGATATTATTTTTATAAGTTTTTAATTGATATTCTAAAGAAGAAAAACTTGCATCAATGAAATTTTAATTTGTTACATGTTACAGTTTGTTATATTGCTCCTGTTCACTGACAAAGTGTCCCAGTCAAAAAACATTAAAAAAAAATGATACATTCATTCTTTTGCATACATTTTTGAATCAACTTGTTCCCTGATCATAAATACCAAATATTTGTATTGTAGGAAAGCATGGCAAGGCTGAAATTGTCAGTTGAGGAGAAAAGGCAAAGAAACAGAGAATACCAACAAAAAAGAAGGGAAAAAATAAATAGTGACCCAGAGAAGAAAAGGGCCACAAAAGAAAGGGAAAAACAAAGATGGAAGAAGAGAGTTGAAGACAAAAAAGTAACACAAATAGGCACGATGGGAAACAGAGCAAAGAGGAACAAGAGGAAGTATTGGAGAGAGGCACAGAAAAGGTCCAGA